TTATCTGGCAGGAATGCGAGAATCATTTAGGACCTTATGTCTTTTTTAAGGATTATGGAGACCTGACTGTGTATTGCTGTAGGTAGGGGTGTTTGGGAAGCATCAAAACTGGACAGAGACATCCAGAAAGTCATGGTTCTTTGGTAGCAAATTTTGCATAGAGAATAGACCAATCTCATGTCTGGATGGAGAGTAGAGCACAGGACAAGTCAATGAAAGATGCAAATTAATGTCAGGATAGTAAAGTAATGCACTTTAAAAACAACACCTTTAGATGTTAAGGTCACAATTTTGTCACGTTTTCTTTTTCAACTTGTATTACACCCAAGGCTTTCTGTTAGTCTATTCGCTGCAGTTTGTCAGTTTCCTTTCTATAACAGCACAAAGTAAGATAAATGTTTTTTTCCTGAAGTGCCTTCAAAGCCTTGTGTGTAATTCAGCTAAATTGTATGGTTGGTGTGTGTGTGTGTGTGTGAATAGTCAAGAAGAGCAGCTGAAGACTTCTGCAGGGGTAAGACTGCTTCTACAATTTCATATATCTGTGCAGAAATGTAACTAATGTTCATTTGTTGATGTAGAGCTACTCCAAATGCGGTGTTAGCCACTAAATGAAAGGCTATTGTTGATGATTATGTTGATGCTTAAGCAAGACAAAAATCCCATAATGTTTTTCCCTTATATACCGTGTGACCTGCTTTCCTCCCAGGCCTAACTTAAAAGGCTTGTAGGGGCAGCGAAGGCCTGAGTCCGTAGTTCAACACCTGTAAGTCACAAACAACTAGTTTAACCAAAGACTGATGCCTGTTTCTTGTTTTTGTTTTTTTTTTGTTTTTTTTGTTTTCCTTTTTTTCCTGAAAGAAGGGATCTTAAGGAAGAAAAAGTATTTTTCATTTGCTGCATTTTGTTGTTACGAATGCCAAAAGTCAAATGTGTTCCACAGATCCTGCTATTTGAGTGGTTTCCAGTTACATTCTTGCTAAAATCTAGTTTTATCCTCACCTTTTGAAGCAACAGAGCACACCATGTTGCTTTAGATGCAGAAAGTCTCTCTGTGAGTGGGAGTCTTCTGTGCCATCAGATAGGATTATGGCTTCATAGTTATTAGGGCATGTTTCTTGGAAACCTCTCAAACTCTGGAAACCACTTGATCTGTGTACATATGAGAGCTTACAGCAGATTCCTCCTGGATGTCAAGTGGCAAATCCTGAGCCTGTGTGTGTTTTGCTCTGCAGAAACTCGAAGAGGAGAAAGACAAGCGGGAGAAGGAGCGGCTGGAGTTCGAGCGCGAAAGGAAGGAGCGAGAAAAAGAGCGAGAGCGGGAAAGAGAGCGGCGGGATCGCGAAAGGGAGAAGGAGCGCGAGAGAGAAAGGAAGAGGGAACGGGAACAGGAGAGGGAGAGAGACCGCGACAAAGAGCGTGACCGCAGGAACAGGGAGATAGAACGAGAGCGAGACTGGGACAGAGACCGCAGCCGTGACCGGAGCGCCGAGCGCAGCCGATCAAGGTGACGTAGATAGATGCACACCTGTTACAGCCAAGGACACTTTTGTGAAGTAAAACGTTCAGTATGAACCTTGAATACGTTGAGATTCTTATTTGAAATAGTCTGATTTGTAGTCTGCATCTAAAAGTCTAATCATTTGTGTAAATGTGTTTTGTGCCATTTTAAAGTGTTGCTGTGTTGCTGCTTAAACCTGCCTATCACAGTATTTAATGGCTTTTATCAGTTTCTATTTATAGAACACATTTTGTACAGTTTTATCAGAGTTGATGGACAAAGAAACTATCAAGTAAATCATTAAGTCAGTGCAGACAATTCATTTTCTGAAGATTTTAACTTTTTTAACTTGTTTATTACACATGGTCATCTAAGGGGATATTAAAATCTAATGTATCGAAACCTTTTTTCTTTTTTTTTTTTTTAAGGGAATTGAGCCGAGACAGAGAGAGGGAGAGAGAAAGAGAACGGGAGAGGGACAAGAAGCGTGACCAAGAAGATGAAGAGGACGCTTACGAACGTAGGAAGCTGGAACGAAAACTCAGAGACAAGGAGGCGGCATATCAGGAGGTAAAAAAAAAAATGCATGATTAAAGGTTGTATATCAAAAGGTGTTCGATCTGTTAAGATATAATTTCTTTTTCTGACTGTAACTA